GGTATACTGCTATGCGATGGCAAGACTCACAAGAGAGGAGGAGTGTGTATGTACACATTCCAACAAGAGAACACACCCCAGAAGAAGATAACCGAGTACTTCTCAAAGTATGGAGTTAGGTGGTCTGAGTTCAACTGGCTGCCATACTTTGATGCAGTGACTATGGGAGTCATTGACCCCATGCATACCTTCCTACAAGGTGGGAATCCTCCCCTTGATCCTCCCGTGCCCTTTGCCTCTCTGGTGGTTGCATTACTTCAGCAACGCAACCACATAACTCATCCCCTCCTTCACCCTTCACAAACTCACTTGTTTGCTGACAACAATACCTTCTAGGCCTTGTCAAAACATTATGGTACCACAATTGGGTCAGAGGAGGGCATGCCAAAGCAGCGAAGTACAAGGTGATTGTCCTTCAACCTGCTACAGATGGTGGAGTCTGTCAAGAGCTTGACACAATACATGCCATCTTGGCTATGGCAAGTCCTGTTTCATTTGTCTATGCTATTTCTGATTGCTGATACTTGGAAGTTCAAGATGCCTACCTGGTTTGCCCACCTGCCAACCCAAGTGGGATATCCTGGTGGGGGTTGTCTGACTTCAGATAAGTGGAGGGCCCTCGCCATCTTGTACAGCCCAGTTGCCGCAAGTCCCCCCCCCCTCTTTGCTCTCCCACTCACTGCATTCCGTAGATCCCCCCCATCCTACTGAAAGTCACAGACCATGTGAATACGAAAATTGCATCGAATTTTCTCAAGCTCGCTACGGTCATCAAGATCTACACACACAGGCAGATATCGGAGACAGAGCTGGATTGGGCTGACAGGCTGTACAAGGATTTTTTTGAGGAATATGTTGAAGTGAGTGTCATTGGCTTGTGAGTGGTTGTGTTGCCCCCAGAGAGACCACGCAACCACTTAACTCATTGAGGACCCCCTTCCCCCTGGATCAAGCTTACCTGTCTTCCAGATTTACGGCGAAATCAATGTCACCCCAACCTTTCATTGGGTAACGCATATGGCAGCCCAAGTCCGTTGTTTCGGCCCAGCCCAAGGATTCTGGACCTTCCTGTTTGAACACCTCAATAAAGTATTGAAGACCATTCGGACGAACAGACGTAAGAGAGGAGGGGTCGAGTTGACATTTGCACAGGAATTCAAGAGGGAGTTGAGTATCTCAAGATTGGTGAGTTGTTTGCATTCATTGATTCGTGGTGAGGTTGCCTGGAGAGGGGCAACGCAACCACGTAACTCATATCCCTCCCCTCCTTCTTATTTTCCTGTCTCTCTCACCTCTCTGCAGACTACAGTCCTTCTCACCCAATGGCAAGATTTCCTCGCCCGCCTGATTGCCCAAGAAATGGACAAGCAGTTGAGAGATCTTGCCCACAAAGGCACTCTCACCTCGATGGCTGCTGAAGCTGACGAGGATGCGGACTTGCACAACCGTGCTCGTTGGCAGCCAATAGGCAAGCCCGAACGTGTGTACCTCGATAATGGCACGCAACAACATCTCCTCGCATGGTACTGCGAGAAGATGCCAAATTTGCCTCTATAACGACCCACTGACAAGGACGCACCTCAAGGAGCTTGCTTTCTCAACAATGAGGTATACTTTTACCTTGCCCTACGGTTGGACGGCAAAAAGATCATGGCAGCGCACGAAGGTGCGCGCAAGAAAGCCAACTCTCTGGTGATGGTTCATTATGGACCAGGGCTCGAGTGGGCTGGGGAGCTTTGCCAGGTCTGGCAGCACACGCAGCCTGGAGTTGACCTTCCTCAGACATTTGTCGAAGTTGGTTACTTTGTTTGTCTGGAGAAGAAACCGCTGTGGCTTGCCCAGCTCTACACCCACCTCCCGGAGCTCGAAGTCCACTTCTGGGAATATGACCGGTACCAACATGCTGACGACCTCTCTGCCTATCCTCTGACTCACGTAGACAAGATTGCAGGGGCGGCAGCTCGTTGTATGATGGAACTTGACAGCTGCAAGACATGGATCACAACAGGTATGTCAAAGGTATGTTGCAATTATACCCACTGTCAAATGAATCAAAGCTCAGAAAGACTTTGTACAGTGCGGTCACAGTGTCTAAGTACTAGTATGAATCACTATGGTAAGCTTACGTGCTGTATTTACATTTCTGGCGTGGCTGATGAACCACTCAAGCAGATTATGTATGTAGTTCTAGTAAGAACGTCTCTGTGACTAAGTAAGTACTGGTCTAGGCTTACGTGAATGAATCTGTGAACTTACTTTTCTCAGGCATTCATATTTGTGGTTGCGTTGCTTGAGCAACGCAACCACATAACTGAGGCACGCATGAGTACTAGTCTCGGTTACGACTCCACGAGGGCCTGCTCCTCCCCCTCCTCTTCCTCTGGCTCCTCCTCTTCTGGCAACCCCACCAGCTCTCTGCAGAGCTTTTTCCCCAATGACGCAGGATACCCAGGGTTGCTTTCCCACTTGTCCACCCTCGGCAAAACATCTCTGACCCAGTCTGGATCGAGCATCCAGTCATATGGTGCATTCTCGGGCAGGAAGGAAGAGGTGCGTCTGATGTTGATGCGGGTGTACTGGGGGCGGTTCTTTTTCTTGGACACTATCCCGTGGGTCAGGCGTGTCTTCTTCTTGGTTGCGGCGATCAGTGATTTTTCCCATTCCCAGAGCTGCATTAATCAGGGTAAGCATAGTTGTGCCTAGCAAAAGATCATTCACCTTCTGATGCTTCCAAGCGGGCCTACAAACCTTGAGAATCTCGAGCTCATCGTTGTCAAGATCCTCGGCAGAGATCTTGCAGGCGTCAAAGAAACGTTGGTGCCAGGTGCAAGTATTTTGGTCGTCGCTGTCGAAGCGGAGAAGCTCAGGCGAGTCAGCCATATGCGCAGCGCGCTGGATTGGAAACGGGTGTGGTTCCGTATAGGCAATGCAACCACCTAACTCACCGTTTTCTTCCTCTCCCTCCTTCTGCTGTCCCAGTTCTGCTTCTTGGTACCACCTCCCGTCCTGCTGGCTACCTGCTGCTGGAGCTTGTGAATTCAGACGATGTTGTGCCAAGCCTTGCCCATCAAGATGGTTAAGACGTCTTCATTGACCCAAGCAGCTTGGTGGGCTTTGGGGATGTACTTGCCCCCTCCCTACGGAATCGGTGAGTTATGTGGTTGTGTCACTCAAAGGCAACGCAGCTTACCCGTTCCTGCAGGAGCACTTGTTTGACCGTACAATCGATAATTATGGCATTAGCCGTGTCGTTCTTGTACTTTGAGAAATCCAGGGTGAGGAACTCTTTGCCCTCTTCTTCAGGCCTCTTGAGGTCATTGACATCGTACATGGTTTGCCTGGGTACATATTTCATCAGGATGTAGGCATTGTTGCAAATGCAATTCTGGTGCCAGTGGTAAGCTTCTATCCATCCTGAATGAAGCTAGACTGTCTCTTACCTGCAGATGTTTCTTCCATTTCAACTCTTTGTTTGACATATCTCTTGTCTTCATGTCGAGGACCGTCGGCTTTTTGATCTTGGCGGCACTTCCAAATGGACGATCTTCCCCGGGTGCCAACATCGTAGGACGTCCCCTATGCTTCTTCTTGGGTGGCTGCAGCAGGAGATTATCGTGCACAAGTTTCTCTACCACAGCAAGATGACACGCGAGAGATTCAAGCAAATCATCCACATCCGACCCGTCATCATCAACATCTGGCAGTACCTGAGTGCAGGGAGAAAGGCTCGGAGTGGCCATGTATCCCAAAGAAAGGCTGGTAAGGAGGGTGGGCAAGTAGATTGGGAGATAGAAACCACATCACGGTGAGCTATGTGGTTGCGTCGCCCTTGAAGGTTACTCACCATTGACTGCTCCCTCCGGGGAATCCCTTCAAAGTGTCCCGCATCTTCAAGCTGTCTGCATCGGTCGCATTTGGATTGTAGGCCTTCAAGAGCGCGGTGAGTACAGATGCCCGGCTGCGATTGCCGAGCAGCTCCTCGAGGTCAACTGGCGAGCGCGAGCGGCAAGGAGTCATTATGAGGATAGAGCAGTGGGCGTACTAGGAGGTAAGGTGGGGAGGAGGGGAGGAGAAAAACGAGGAGCCGGGGGGGGGGGCTTCTAGAGGACGGGGCCGCAAATATTCTTCATGCACAGACAAAAAAAAAACGCATATGCATACGGCGACCTGTGCTAGATTCATGAAAGGAAGCCTTGCCTGGATTAAAATTTATTGATTTAATATAATAATCCTATTCCCCATTTAGCACAGAAGATCCGTGGTAACTATGCTGCGCTGATCATATCCAGGATACCCCGCCTAAGGTTGCCTGGGATGAGTGCTTGTAATATACATTTACCAACTATCCTACAACACTTAGCTATAGAGAAGGTCAGGTGTGCTGGATTATTGCACAAGTTGCCGATGTGGGTACCTCTAGCTAAAATGGGGAATTGAAGAGGTGACCTGCACGCACATTGTGCAGGTCACCTGATCGGTCTGCCCTTACCTCAGCAGAGGACCCTTCGTTTTGCAGTGAGTACTTTGAAGCCCTTGAAGCGCCCATCTGTCCCTGTAATCAACGGTTACTCGAGCTCAACATCCACGTTAAATGTCAACGTCAACCGCCAGTACCTCGCACCACGAATAAGACAAAACGTGCTCCAGCCAACAGCCCCACCGAGGGATGAGAGACCAGCCCATGTTAAAGCTGTTGATAATGTGCAAACGGGCAGATTTTTTTGGGCACGGCAAATATGAATGGGTTGATATCGAGCTAGTGAATATGACTGGATTGAAAGCTACTTAGTTGTGGATGGTTATTCGCCTGCTTTGTTTTATCCTGACAGAATATGTGTCCTCAAGCTACTTGACGGCGGACCGTCGTCAACCCCTGGCCCCCCCTCCCGGTCCGAGTGAAGGTGTGGCAGTTGTCTCCATCACAGAGCCGGCTCACAATTGATTCGACGTTCCTCTCGACCAAGAAACACCGCAGGTCAGTTTGCTGGCATCTCCATCAGCCGTGGGTCCGGGGGGTTTTGAGGCCTGTGTTAAGAAGGGGAAGGGAAGGGAGGAGATGACTGGCAGGCGTGGGTGTTGTACGTAACCAAATGGCTGATTCCATGTACTTTGTCAGGCTTGACGTTTATTTGTATTATGACGAACACATGAGAACTAAGTTCTTTCCATGAGGAGGCGGCTCTCCGACAGACATCTCCCGAGAAGTAGACCACTAACTATGCTTTCACTTTCTGGTCTGAGAAAAGGTATGTCATTAAAGAAGCTCACCTGTTTCTCACATCTGCGTCTGTATCTCGCGCGATACCCCGGTTCAACCAGTTGGCGTTATACTACGTCCCTCCTGCAGCAGACTTCCTGTCATGGGGAGACAAATTGTCCAGTTGGGAAATCCGCACGCTTCGTATTCAGTTAGACGCACAGAACCATTACACATGTGTCTTATTATAACCACAGAAGAAGGTACTGTACATTGGGCTTAACTGATGGAAATCATCATCCCGTCATCTCAACGTCCTCATTCACACCTCCCTGTGGGACAATCACACCAGAGTCAACCATCCAACTGACCGGCATGCCGGAAAGACGGGTGCCAGGCCACATTTGTTCCTCCAGCTCAGTCTGCGGACCCAGCGTGCGCAGGT